CCCCAAAACCCCAAAACCCCATGGGAAATAAATTTCTTAAGAATATTGAAATTCTAAAATAACAAATATAATTTAAATATGAAAAGTTCATTCAGATAAAATTCATTAACAAGCCATCAGAAGTCTGTTTAATTCAAGGTAAGAATTGACAACTTAATATTAATAAACTATTTAGCTATCTCCATAAAATTAGAAGAATTTCAATACTATCAATGGATAAAACAATAATGCATTTCAAAACTAGAGAGACCCTTAATTTCAATTGAACTTGAATTAAAACTACAACCCCTAAATAATGAACAATCAATCCCCACAAAACTATCAGTAATAATAGTATTATCAGCAACAATAAAATCAATAAAACTTTCAATACTCTTAGCAGTAGCAATAGTAGTTTTATTAATAGCAGCAGTAATAAAATCTAAATATTTAATATTTGAATAACACTGGATAAAGTTAGCCTAATAGCTGGGCTGGCTATTAATCTCATAATTAACAGCCAAGACAGAACTCTAAGAACCAATTGAACTCAAATTAGCAACAGCAATATAATATGAATTAAATTCAACTTTAGTTCTGAAACAATCAACAACGATAGAACTAAATGCAAAATTAGAATCAATTCTAGTAAAATAATTAAGATTAAGGTCAATTAAGGATGAACTAAGACCAAAACAGCAACTCCTATACATAAAATTAATTCAGATTTAAATCAATAGCAGATCAAAATCCTGGCTAGCAACCTAGATAAGGAAGCAGAGGTCAAAGACAAAATAACAGGAAACAAGAGAAGAAAATCAATTAGGATGAAGCATTTTCTAATATATCTAAGGAGGTTAAAGATAAGATTCTCAAGGAAGATAAAAATGCGTTGGCAATGCTCAATTAATAGAAGAAGGAGTAACTCAAAATTCCATAATAGAAAAAAGCATATGCTGAGGCAAAAACAGAGAAGGAGATAGTTGAACAAAGAAATAAACTATTAAAGGAAATCAGAGAGGATGAGTTGAAGGCTGATAAGTATGCAGAATTCGACCATCTAATTTTGAGAGATAGATTGAAGAGTAACACACCTCTATAGAAGCTGTTTGAAGCAGTCTATTTTGATGATTACGACCTGTTTAAAGCGCTCTATCAACAAGATATTCAAAATGATGGGACAGTCGGATAGAAAGAATTCAAGCTTTAGATTTTAAGAGATATACCATCTATTGACCCGTTTTAAGAGATTGATCTGCTCATAATAGTTGCTCCTAGAACTTCTGTTGGGGAGTCAAGAATACTCTACAAGGCTTTGAGCAATGAACTTAGGGTAAGGATCAATCTGATTATTATTTATAGGATTTAGCTAAGCTGAGAATTCCATTAAATCTCTTATACCAAAGACATAAGTATATCATTCCTACATTACCTGCAACTGATTTAACTAATGAGGAAGATTAGAAGAAACACGACATGGAAAGTGTAGGATCTTATAATTTTTATTACTTATATATTATAGTTGTTTGAGTACAAAGATCCTAGACTTAGGCACCTGAACAAAAACTTCTCTAGAGAAGAACTCCAAGTAAGAAACCTTGATTTCGTGAATGACAAAGTTGGCTTCAAAGCAGCAATAGATGAAATCATAAAGTTTAACTGTTAAGTCAACGAGTTTAACTATATGCATGATTTATTCCAAAGAATGAACAAATTGCTTATTGAGAAAACAGTCAGCTATGACTGGATAAAACTGTTTGATCTATATGATAAAGACTTGAAAAAGAACATTCTCGAGAAGTCCGAGATAAAAAAGATTATGGTTGATGCTGGATTTACTGAGGTTACTGACAGAGAAGCTCAATTTGCATACAATGTCATATCTAGATTCACTTATAAAATTGATAGGGCTCAATTTATGGCTTGGATCGATGTAATATTTATTAATTTCTAAAATGACTATTAGAGCATGATTGGAAAACCTAAGTTGTAACTGATTTATTACTCATAATATATCGATCCAGCAACAATGAGGATAACGTCAGCGGAAGAGCTAAAGCTAAGATCTGAAAAAGAATCTAAATTTTACAAGGCTATTAAAGGACTAGATTTTAAAGCTATTGAAGATAGAGTTCCTATGGCCATTCAATTCATTGCAAATGAAATAAATCTATTGGGAGATCAATTTTTCTTGCATACTTTGGAGAAAAATGCTGCAGCAGATGAGACAGGAAGTAATATCATAAATTAATAATTCTGATTCTCAAATAGGGATCTTGATTGAATTCACTTAGCTAGTATTGGTGTTCGCTAAATTTCAGTATTTATGCAATAAAGAGGATAGACTTGAATTAAGAGTGTGGCTTTTCAATAAAAATCTATTTATGAATACCCCAAAGTTCTATCAATAAGATCTGATATTCCTCGATGTTGAAAATTTGATGGAATGTTTAAAAGAACAAGCCACTAGCCAGATTAAAAATAAGGAATCTTCTAAAACAGAATTCACAATGGATTCCATTTTTTCAAATTTGAGATAAAATATTCTTGACAGCTAGATTAACAAAGCTATTGATGCCTTGAATGTGTTTAAAATTGAGGGTGAGATAGGGGAGAGAGAGTTTAGGAAGATCTTAAATCAATGTCTCCCAGGTGTGACTTTACATCAATAGCATTGCATAGTAGAATCAATAAGTAAGGATTTATATCAAAGAGTTATTCTTTAATTTAGAGACATTTAAGCCTGCAGATGATATTTACATGTTTAGAAGATTTAAAATTGATGAAATAGTATCGTAACTTGAAAAGATCAAAACCCTTTAAGGCATATAGGAGCTCAATCTTGAATAGCAGAAAACTGAAAGTTTAAAGCAATAAAAAAGTCCTTAGAAGCTATTTGATCAATCTTTTAATCAGAGATAGTCAGGGGAGGATGTTTTCAGACAATCTACGACTTAGGTCTTTAACAATCCTAGAGGGGAGCTAACTGATCTGGATTATGAGCTGCTAGACTAAAGAGAAGAAATAGATGAATTTCAAGATGGGGATGATAACATCTTCAAAAAAACAGCAAAGGGATCTAATTTACTTAAATACCAGATGACTTAAGATTTCTAGTTTAATTCAACTGGACAGGATTAAAATCCATATTCAGAGACTTACAGAGAGTAGAGGGCAGATTAGATCCTTAAGTAAAAGTAAACAGAAAAAGAGAAGCAAAAGACATATATAAACCATCCAGGGGTTAAGGGAAAAGTCTACAATGCCTAGGAGTTCTCTCCAATAAAGATGCATACACACAAGGCTCCCAAGAAGAAAGGTGACAAAAGAAATGAGACTGAAATGCTTAATAGCATATTCGACAAGATATTTGAATTTGCGAAAGTTAAATCAGAGGCTGAGAAGTATGGCTATTTTGAGAAGAAGCTGAGGTTGATGATAGACTATATTGCAAACGCTTTTGACTAAATCGATTTGAAATAGACAGGCCATTTCTACTGTTGGGAATTGAAAGATTACTTGATAAATGAAAAGCATGGATTGCTTTTTGGAATTGATTTAACTGATGAGGAAGTTGATGCCTTTATTTTCTATGCGGCTAAAGTCACTGGCATTGATTTCGCTGAAAAGGATAATATCCTAAGTGTAAAAATTAAGCACTCATTTTTACTGGCTTAGCTAGAATAGAATTTCTACATCAGATTTGATTTTAAATGAATATTATATTTTCAGTTTTTAATTAGTTATAAAAAACCATTTATGGGGTTTTGGGGTTTTGGGGTTTTGGGGTTTTGGGG